CCTAAAAAAAATTAGTATACATTTATTATATAAATTCAACAAAAAACTCTTAAACAAAAGATATAATTTATTTAAATTCAATTTTTGCTGAATGTTTATTTTCATCAGAAAAAAAATAATTACAAACTTCTACAAGCATTTTTTATACCCTCCACCATAGCATGGAGGGTATATTAATTTTGTTTTTCTGTTTGTAACTCATCGAAATAATCATTTCCGACCCTATAAAGTATATATATTCTTAATCAGCGTAAAATTCTAGGGCGATTTAGCAATGTCCGTCTGTCTGTTGTAATAAACCTAGCCTCTAAACGAGGCTGCAGGCAGGTCAAGTTCGAAGATGAGATATATCGGTCCACGTTTAGACATAGCTCCCATATAAGAGTACCCCCCAATTTTCGGTATTTTGGGGTCCTTGAGCGCGTTTTTAATCGAATACGCTGAAATTTGGTATATAAATTCTTACTGGATACTAACTTTCCCCACTAAAAATTATATAGGTCCACTTTTTCTGGGAGCCCCTTATTTTCAGTATTTAGGGGTTCTGACCGGATTTTTCCACCGGATGGGCTGTAATTTTGTATTTAAGTTCTTAATAGTTACCAAATCTCTCCACAAAAAGTTATACATATATATGTCCAGTTTTTCGGGTATCCCCCATATAAGGGTATCCTCCAATTTTCGGTATTTAGGGGTTCTTGAGCGCGGTTTTCAACCGAATTTGCTGTAATTTTGTATTTTGTAGTCGTATATGGTAGCAAATCTCCCTACCAAAATTTTTTTTAATATTCGTCCCCTTTTTGGGGTCGTCCCCATATAGGCAAAGTTTGGATGAAATCAAAATTTTCTAAAAAGGATTTGGTCCAATGAAACATGGGTTTAGAACCAATATTTCGATGAGGCACATTGTCACTGTATCAAAGTATATAAACCCTCATTAGCCATAAGGCTGAGTGTATAAATATCCATTAAAAATTTCAGAAATTTATATTTGGTTACACTATGGTTTACATAATCAATTTGTAGAAATGTCACTTATTGGTCACTTTTTCTTCCGCGTAAGGTTCGGTAATGAACTATTGCCCGCATTTAGGCCTAGCCCCCATATAATGATACCTACCGATTTCCGGTACTTTTAATATTTATCGTAAAGAAATGTATTCTGATGCAAAAATGTTAGTTTCTAAATAGAGCTATATCAGTCCACAATTAGGCATAGCACCTCATATAATAACTACAAATTTTCGGCAATTCCTACATGATGCAATCAACATTGGCCCCGCATACGGTTAGCCTCCAGGGACGTACTCTTACAAATTTCTTTCTGCAATATCAATTTTCATATTGAAACAGCAGGTTCCACACAACCTCGCGAAATAAAACCTGGGAACGTTCCTACAAGATATACACTTGCTTAATATAATAGGTTATTCAAAGTTTGGTTATTTTTGACCATTTTGCGTCGAATGTACCAGAAGGAGTGGTTCCCCATCTTCGAACTTGGACTAAGGGTTAAGTATGAAGTCTTATACCTCTGTATAAGAAAGGTACTCATATTAGAACAGTAAATACGATGTTCAAAATTACAATCATGTCATATAAGAACACTGGTCGAAAATGATTCATCATTCCTGGACCCCTTGCCATACAGCCTGCTGGCAAGCGGTCCATAAAATGTTTTTGAAATATTATAATACTACATTTCTAGAATCAGTCGGCACTATGGACTCTCAAGAGGACTGAAAACGAAGAGGGAACGACATGAGGATCAAGCAGCACTATTTTGATTGTTACTCTGAAGGTGAGTGCAATCAAATTTTAATTAGGCTTTCAAACTAACAAGAAAAGAAGCAGCTGCAGTTTTAGATTACAGTATTTTTCGGTTAATTGACCCTATGGTTAATTGGTTTCCCCGCCTTATTGAACCACATGATGGGACAACAAAATATTGCATACGAAAACACATGTAAATTTCCTCGGGTAATTAAACCCTGTTAATTGCTTTTCCCGTTAATTGATTCAATTTTATGTAATCAGAAATAAGTTTCCTCTTATTTTTTACCGGTTAATTGCATTATTATTGAAAAATAATCTGGGATTTTCATACACCCATGGTTCCTTTTGAGATTTTGCAAAGAATCACTTTCTGAGTCGAGTTATGCATGTCCGTCCGTCTGTTGGAGTTAAATTGGAAACAAAGTTCGGGACGCATTTATAATCCGATTTAGATGCAATTTGGACACAAAATTTATTCGTTCCAAGGACAAACCCTAGTAAAATTTAAAAAAAAAAATCGTCCGATGCACCGAAGTCCCCATACCGATGTACCGAAGTCCCTATATATTTTTCGATTTTTACAAAATTTGGCATACCATATATTTCGTCTGCCGTTTTAATGTAAATGGTGCATCACAGTCCCTATATATCTTTTGATTTGCACGTAATTTGGTATAGCGTACTGAATTGTGCCTAGAATGTTGTAAGCTAAGTTTCGTGAAAATCTGTTCAGATTTATATAAAGCTTCCATATATATTTTCTTCCGTTTTATGTAAGTTGTGTGCGAAAGACCCAAAGTTTGTCCAGTTGTCAAACAATTTTGTACCATGTACTGAAGTTAACATAACTTAGTCTCTGACAAGTTTCGTTGAAAATTATAGTTCCCATATATTTTTTTGTCCGGTTTTAGGTAAATGGATCACCAAATTTCCAATATGAAAATTAGCCTAGGTTGTAGAATGTCATATGTATGGATTGATGTTAGTCGGTTCACATAAATATAGAAAGAAAAAGATCACATATTTAAGTTCGTTCAATTTCATGTCAATGTTCTTTGGAAGTGCGTCGTCTGTTAGGATACATCAAAGTGGTGAGGGGTGTCATATAGTCGGCCCAGTCCGACTTTATTACCTTTCTTACTGGTTTTACATACATATGTGACATCATTTATGAAAAACACTAGGGTACCTCTTTACTAATTGAAAATATATGTTTATTGCTAAGGAATAAACATATATTCACAGTATAGCACAGTTTATTGCTAAGGAATAAACTGTGCTGTACTGTGAGAATGCATATAAGAAAATAATAACATTTATGGCCATAAAATTATTCGTAAAATAAGTAAAAACTAAAATAATGTATTTTGAATCCTTTGCGCATCCTGCAATATAGTAACTTTCATCAGTTTCCTGCCCACTTTCTTCCTGAACGGCCCCATAGAGCTTTGAAATGTTGCACATGGAATGCTATTACTCCTATTGAAAATGTGGTATATCGATTCACGATTTGATACAACCCTCATACAACGGTACCCCCAAGTATTTGGTATTATTGGGATATTTTACAGGTTTTCAAACCGAATTGGCTGTAATTTGCTACGTTTAGTTAGGAAATCCCGCTCATGTATGATGTAAAAAAGAATGTATGTAATCGAAATAATGAAAACATATGTTTTTGCATATTATATAAATTTTTTGAATGATGTTTTTTGGCTACCAGGTATGTTATTTTCACTCGAGGGATCAACAAGCAACTTTGCATGAGAAGGCGATGTAACCTTTTTAAAATCCTTTTCCTGAAAAATAAATTAAAACTATTTATAAAATAAGAAAATTACTTAGTACTTGGTGCCGAGACCCGGGAATTGAATCGGTGTTTAGTGATTTATTTAAAAAATAGTGACATTGTGATGTCGGAAGTCGCAGGCTCGTTTCCGGCTACACCCGAGTATTGATATCCTTCTTATTGGCGGCCAATTTATTAAATTTTAGAATCTAAGATATTGAATTAATATATGAACTTGAATTCGCACAACAAATTGTTTCAAATTCCGTGCGAAGTTGTTTACGATTTAGGCATCAAAACAACTTACCGTTCGATATTTTGGGGCATGTAAACAACAAGCAACAAAATGCACGTCAAAGGGCGTTGACTTGTTGCTGAGTTGTAAACAACAAGCAACAAAACACACGGTAAGGGGTTCTGATGTGTTACTTGGTTGTAAACAACTAGCAACAACACACACGGTAAGGGGTTCTGATGCGTTGCTTGTTCGTAAACAACAAGCAACAACAACGCATGGTAAGGGGTTCTGATGCGTTGCTTGTTCGAAAACAACTAGCAACAATAACGCACGTCAAGGGATTCACACTGATCAGCGGTAAGAAACAACAACGCGCGTGCGTAGAGACTGCGATGCGTCGCCAAGGAATAACGCACAACAACAGTGTGATCCTGAAGGTTGCGACGACGGTCCTATAAAAGGGCGAACAACGAAAGTTGCGGGGACAGTCGTGAGAGAAAAGCTGACAGCACAAGGACCAGACGAGGAAATACCATAAACCCCTTTTAACAGGTGAGTCAATCCAGAATCAAGGAGTGAAGAGGACTGAAGGTGAAGTGAGCTTCCCGTTGCCACTGAAACCACCGACCCCTGACTCGCTCAACAACAGGTGAGTTGAGATTGCCACCTGCGCCGTTCACGGAAAAAGTGAGTTTGGACAAGCCACTTCCAGGCCGCGCGACGTACCCCTAGTGAGTTTTCGTACGCCACTCCAGGTTACCCCAGGCCCCAGTCAACCAAGGGACTCTTTCTAAGCGGTGGGCGCTAGTGAGTTGTCCTAAGCCACTACGCCTACATAACGCACAGGTGCTTCCGTCATCCAGGTGGCAGCTCTAGGCAATTGGCCCCGGCCAGGGGGGTTACTCTGTTTTGCGTTGCGAAAGCAAGTGCGATGCGTGAGCTAAATGCGTTAAGAGTTCAATTTGGTACTCTGTAACAGTGACGCAAACGCAATCGCAAATAAAATCAAAAATAGGGCAACACTGGTACCAAAATGTAAACATTAACGAATAATGACAAAAGAAAACGTAAAAAAATGTAAATAAAAACATATTTTTGTGCGGTACGAGTGTATTTTTAAAAAAATATAATTAATAAGTATGGATTCGGTGGCGTTATGGTTGGAAGAAAATGAGAATGATGAACGGATTACAAAACCAAATGAGAATTACATATTTAGATTGCCGGTATGGCGGTGCTAGCCATGATTCACATGTTTGGACCCTTTCCAACGCAAAGCAAAAATTAAAAGAACGTTTCGAAAGAGGAGAAAATGGATATTGGCTGATTGGTAACAAAATTAACGCAATTTTAAAAGATTTTTTCTTACTTATTTTTAATCATCTAAAAGGCGATTCGGGCTACCCATTGGAACCCTGGTTACTTACCCCATACAGGAACGCGACGGAAAATTCGCCTGAAAGTCGTTTTAATAAAAAGTTTTGCAAAGGAAGGTCCATAATTGAAAGAGTGTTTGGTGTTTTGAAAGGCAGATTTAGGTGTCTGTTAGCAGCCAGAGAGTTACATTACGCACCAGAAAGTGTGGTTCAAATAATGAACGTTTGCTCTGCCCTGCACAATATTTGCCTAGAATTTAATTCGCAACTGTCAAGATACGAAATTGCTGGGCCAGAAAGTCTTAATGAAATTGAAGTGCCTGTTTATAGCAATACGAACAACAGCGAAGAAACAAATATTGCTAAGGAAATAAGGAATAATGTTAGAAACAATTTGATTTAAATAAAATAACATTTATTTATTAAAAACAAACAAAATCAAAATGAATTTATTTCATTGTAGTATTTATAAAAAACTTATAATATTAAATGTTAAAACTTTTATATGGCGATTTTGAGATCTTAAAATTCAGTCAGTCTTTCTTAAACTAGGTTGCCTTATAGGCATTATATAAAAAACAGATTGCCTTATAGGCATAATAAAAATAAAAATAATACATATGAACATATTGAATCACATATAGTCACATATCACACTGTTTTACTTATTTCTAATTCTAAAATTTTGCAACTGTCCTTTTGCCAAATCGCTGTGCTGCACCATAAAATCAACTAACGTTTGAAACTGACGTTGCTGAGTCTGCATTTTTTTTTTGGCTTTTCCCTAAAATAATTTACAATTTAGATATAAATAAAAACTTTGATTGTGCTTACTTACATGTTTCGTTTCCTTTGCATTTGCTATTTTGTTAACGCAAGATATTTGCGCTTATCGAACGAATTTGACATACGTTTTCGTATTACAGAGTGCGGTGATGCCACATTTGCGTTAAGTAGATGCGAAAGGAGATACGAAAACGAAATAGAGAGTACCAATTACGCGATGCGTTACAATTTTTCTTACGCATCGCAATACAGAGTAACCCCCCACTGGCCTCATCCCAGCCTTGTCCCCCATATCCCAAAACCTACCCTAGTTTCGCACAATATCCCTACTATCAACTGTGCCGAAAACGAAGCAATAAAACCCCCTATACTAAAAACACACAACAGACTTCTTTCCTTACTCTTGTCGCCGACAGAAATAAATTTCTGTGACGGACTCTGGCCGCCGGGAGCTTTCCCCAGCAATTCGGCGGACAATTGAGTCGTTACAGTGGCGCCCGAGCAGGGACCTGAGTAAGGAAAAAAACAGGAAGGATTAAATATGAAGAGGTGGTTTTCCGGCAGTAGATGATGTCTACAACCTTGCGTACCTCGTGGGCATATAGTCTGCGAAAGGAGGAACTAGGGAACTACCTGAACGAATTTGGCCTCGAAATAACTGGAACGGTGGAAGAACTCCGGAAGAGGTTTGGGCAATTTTTAGGCGAAGAACATGACTCGGATACACTCGAGAGGTTACTCCGGTTACAGGATTTCCACGAGCAGAGTTCTTCTAGGTCGGATAGCAAGACTCACGTGTCACCGAATCCAGGACTAACGATAACCAATCCCAGTGGTGTGACAACCCTCGTCGAGCCTAAAAGCCCCGCACGTACAGCATCTTCTAGTGGTAGACCCAGGACGTCGCCTTATAGCGATATTCGGGCAGTGGCCGACCAAGTGAGGAAGTGGAACCTCAGCTTTGATGCAGAACAGGACTCACTGGAGTTCCTTGAGAGGATAGAGGAGTTAGCAGGAATGTACGCCATACCAATGGATGTCCTACCAAGGATGATGCCCGAGATCATAAGCGGAAAGGCGCTAGTCTGGTTCCGGAACAACAACCGGCAATGGCAATCCTGGATGGATTTTAGAGGAGACTTCCAGAAGTTTTTCCTTCCTAATCGTTACTTCGAGCAGTTGGAGGATGAGATTCGTAAACGCCATCAACAGCCCCGAGAGAAATTCCGCGATGATACCCTCGGGATGCAAAACATGATGAGACGGAGCCATTACTCCGAGGAACAAAAGCTGGAGCGTATCTTTAAGAATGCATTACCGGAGTATCTATGGTATCAGACGACGTGACTTCCATACCATGCACGATCTTCTAGCAATGGCTGAGGATTTGGAGAGCCTGCCGCCGTTAGCAGCACAGAGCAGGGAACAACACCGTCGCCTGGAACCCACAGAAAACCCTTCGCACACACCGTACCAGCCACCAATAAACCCAAGAACGGCATGCCGCCGATGTGGTCAGGATGGACATTTCGCCGCTGGCTGTCGAAACGAGGTGGCACTGTTCTGCTGGGAGTGCGGCCGTAGGGCCATCCGGACGATAGACTGCTGCCGAAAGCGAGCCTCGGGAAACGAGCGCCGGACCCGCCCGGAGAGAGGGGAGACGGGTCCACCGGTCAGCAACGATCCCCTCAACTGAACACTACTCTTCGCATCGAACCAAGTCGACTGGTGGCTACTGTAGGGATTGGAGGCCAATGGATCGCCGCCACGGTGGATACGGGAGCCACAACATCGTTCATCAGTGAGTCCCTTGTATCCTCGCTCGAAGATAACGATAAGAGAGTACCGTACAGCGCAAAAGTAACCTTGGCAGATGGGTTCCAGCGGAATGTTGAACATGCCGTGGAAGCGGATATCCATCTAGGGCACCAGTTGGCACCCACGCAGCTGTTGATTATGCCACATGCAACCGAAGACGTCATTATCGGACTAAACTTTCTGGCTAAGGTAGGTGCCCGTCTAACGATGGCCGGACTATCATGTGTGTTTTCTGTAGCGGATCATGTGTGTTTTCTGTAGCGGATCAGTACCACCTGCAACTGCGAGCAAAGATGTCATCGGGCGACGAACATTGTAGATGGACCGAAAGGTCCTTCACCGGTAAGGGGTCTCCAGGAGGACCAGGAAAGAATACAAAAAATTTTAGATCAGGAGCTCCAGAAATTTCGGGAGATACATGGACCGTCCACTGCTGCCACGCATCGCATCGTCATGGTAGATGATCGGCCGTTTAAGTTACGCTATGCTGCGCGGAACCCGGCGATGCAAGCGATCATAGACACTAAAATAAATGAGCTACTGGCCAACAGGTTTATCGAACCGTCTCGAAGCCCATATAGTTCGCCGATCACACTCGCTCGGAAGAAAAATGGCTCCTGGCGACTTTGCATGGATTTTAGGCACCTCAATGGCAAGTCGGACCCAGACGCATACCCCTTACCAAGAATTCAATCGATATTAGACCGACTCCGGGAGGCGAAGTACATTAGCAGTATCGATCTTAAGGATGGATATTGGCAAATTCCACTGGAAGAGGGAAGTAAGAAATTGACGTCGTTCACGGTGGCGGGGAGAGGTTTGTTTCAATGGCGTGTGATGCCTTTCGGGTTACACTCGGCGCCAGCAACCTTTCAGCGAGCCTTAGACAGCGTCATTGGACCGGATTTAGAACCGTTCGCCTTTGCATATTTAGACGACATAATTATCATCGGGAAAACAGTGGAAGAGCATCTGAGCAAGTTGCAAGAGGCCCGAAGACAAATCTCCGCATCAACCCCGACAAATGCCAATTCTTCCAAAAGGAAACTCGATACCTTGGGCATGTTGTATCCGAAGAGGGTATTCAGACAGACCCTGACAAGGTGGCCGCTATAACGGAGATGAAACCACCCCAGAATATGAAGGAGTTGAGGCGTTTTTAGGTGTGGCGTCCTGGTATCGCCGCTTTGTTCCCGAATTTGCAACCCTAGTACATCCGTTAAACACGTTGCTGAAGAAAGGAAAACATTGGAGGTGGACGGAGGAGCAGCAGACTGTGTTTGAAATACTGAAGGCGAGATTAACGCAGGCCCCGGTATTGGCGTGTCCGGATTTCGGCCGAACCTTCTTATTGCAGACTGATGCCAGTGACTGTGGTCTCGGGGCGGTGCTAACCCAATAGTTTGCGGAAGGAGAGCGAGTCATAGCCTATGCTAGCCGTACCCTGAACGATGCGGAGAAAAACTATTCGGCCACCGAGAAGGAGTGTCTGGCTATTGTGTGGGGAATCCGGAAGATGCGTCAGTACATTGAAGGCTACGAGTTCCAAGTCCTCACGGACCACCTAGCGTTGAAGTGGTTGAACTCCATCGATAACCCTACAGGTCGATTGGCCAGATGGGCGTTGGAGCTCCAACAATATCGATACACCATCCGATACCGCAAGGGTGGGCTCAATGTCGTCGCGGACGCATTATCTAGACAACCAGTGGAATCCTTCCAAAGAGCAGTGGCCGAGAAACATGACGAGTGCCCGTGGATACGTTCCAGACTGGAGGAAATGGCCCGGTCGCCAGAGAAATTTCCTGACTACGCGGTAATAGGAAACCAGCTTTACCGACATATCCCACGTCATCCAAGTGACGCCGAGAATACCACCTGGAAACTGTGCGTCCCAACGAAGCTGCGAGAGCGTGTGTTGAGGGAGAACCATGACCAGCCAGCCGCAGGGCATCTTGTAATTAGGAAGACGGCTAACAGAGTTAGGGAGCGCTATTTTTGGCCTGGGATGATGCGCGATGTTTCGAAGTACGTACGGAGTTGTACATCATGCCAACAATATAAACCCAGCCAGTTGGGCTACTATTTGCGCAGACTTCGTGGGACCTTTGCCCAGGACAAAGCACGGCAATACAACACTGTTGGTTTTCATCGACCGTTTCTCCAAGTGGGTAGAATTGGTGGCCCTACGGAAGGCAACCTCCGGTGCTGTAGTCAAATCATTCCGGGATCGCATTCTGGCTCGATTTGGGGTGCCGAAAGTGCTGATTACGGACAACGGCAGTCAGTTTACTAGTCGGGACTTGGGAAAGTATCTACGAGAAGTTGGGGTCAAGCACCAGTTTACCGCACCGTACTGCCCGCAGGAGAATCCAACAGAGAGGGCGAATAGAACCATTAAGACAATTATGGCGCAAATCTGTGAGAACCAGCACAATAAGTGGGACGAGTTCTTACCAGAGATCAACTTAGCCGTGAACACCAGTACATCGGAAACCACGGGGCATAGTCCCACATACCTAATCCTATGTCGAGAGCCACGATTACCTAACACCCTATATG